CTAGCCTATCCCTGCTTGTGGGAGAAACAAGCAGATTTTGGACTCATGAGAGATTTGGATTGTAGCTCAGGCAATGTGCAGCATAGCAATGAGCGAGTGGGTGGGTGGATTAAGCTCAGACTGTTTTATCGTTTCCTCTCTTGCACCCGTCTGGGATTATATCGGTCATGATTTGGCTGTGGTTGGGATTAATGAAGATTTAATATAGCAAATGTCTGAATATGGTACCCAGACATTGACCCTATTGAATGCAGCCTAAATTGGATTAGAGTGAACACACCTTGGTTTGGACGTGAGAACAGGGTCATAAATATTTTATAAGGGCAGAATTGATATGTGAACTGAATAGCCTGAAGCTCAAATGTGTTTGGGACCACCATGAATTTCTGACATGGTGCTCCAGGCTCCGTGTTACTTGGAAGGCTTACTTCTTAGGCTTTATATTTGTTGGCAGCTCAGCCCTGCATAAGGTTTAACCTAAAAATCCTCTCTCAGCAGTGTAAATGACAAACATTCAACACACAGCCTTTTGAGTTTTTATGCAGTAGCAGAATTTGCTCTCTTTATCTCATGTTTACAGCTTCCATAAATGCATTATAACCCTCCACTCTTGTCCCCTTTAAGACATTTCTTCTGCCTGGCTAAGTGTCATGTGACATCTTTTCCTCTCATGCTACCTTCTGCTGGGCTGTTTCTATTTCTGGCTGGATGCAGAGCGCTCGCATCAAAGCCTCAAGTATCCCAGGTTGCTAGGATATTGTGCTAGTGCAAGAGAGGGGCTTACATGCTGCTTTGCATATTGTCCAAATCCACCCACTCATCCTCTACAGAAAAAAAGATGAATCCTTTTTATCAGTTGCTCTTTGAGCATGATAAAACTCTGATCATAGAAACATTTGAATGCTAATGCAATTAGCTTCTAGATTAAGGTTTTTTTTTTTTTCCAAGTAAGGTGATTTTCTTTACTTGCCGACACTGCTTGTATTTAGATAAACCAGCATTTTAGGTTGTTTTTTCCCCCCCTTTAGTCTACATGCCACTAATCCTGTGTCAGACTAATTCCAGGCTTCAGAGAGCATCTGCCCTGACAGCAGTCTCTCAGACAAATTATGGTCTGCAGGCAGCGATTTTACTTTAAAGCGTCAAATTGGTTTGTTTTCCGCTGTTGCTTCAAAATGTCTAGTTAGGAGCTGACTGATAATTGGTTCTAAAGGGAGGGCTAAACTTGGCCTTTAACCAACAAACTCGTCTCTCTTGCCAACAGAAGAGCGAGCCTGGGCCGCTACCACTCCTGTGGAGACAACCATGGCATCAGACCCCCGAACCCCGAGCAGTATCTCACCCCTCTACAGCAGAAGGAAGTGGCCATCAGACACCTGAAGGCCAAACTGATGGAGTCTGAGAACAGAGTCCATGACAGGTTAGTAAAGATTTAGCAGCACAGTAGCTCCTGTGACTGACTCTTTTTATGGTTTGATGATGGAGGTCCTATGAGAAGGCAAAGTGAAACTATGGTTGTGACGTAATGCCTACTGCAACTCTGCTCAACCGTTAAAATCTGAGTGTGAACCCACTGGAGAATGACTATTACATAATATTATCTTAGAAACTGCTTGCCTAGCTCTGTTCAGTTAACAATCTTCCTAATGTGCTTTTCATTATTATGCTAAGCCAATTGGCAGCTGGCTATAGCTTCATGTTTAGCATGCAAATATGAGAGTGGTAACTATCTTCTCATCCAACTCTCAGCAAGACGAGCACATTTTTCAAAATGTAAAACCATTCCTTAAGTAACTCTGAACTTCTCTTCCCTATTTATTAGAGAGACAGAGATTGAGGAGCTTAAGGGCCAGCTAGGCAGAATGCGGGAAGACTGGATTGAAGAGGAGTGTCACCGGGTGGAGGCTCAGCTGTCCCTCAAAGAGGCTCGCAAAGAGATAAAGCAGCTGCGTCAGGTGGTGGAAACAATGAAGAGCAGCCTGATGGAGAAGGATAAAGGAATACAGAAGTACTTTATCGACATCAACATCCAAAACAGGAAGTTGGAGTCCCTGCTGCAAAGCATGGAGCTTGCCCAGAGTGGCGCCAACCTCCAAGACGAAAACACCTTGGACTTCATCTGTGACAGCCCCGATAGCGGTGGGAAGAAGCTGGTGGGGGAGGAAGAGGGTGGCATGGAGCTGGGAGAACAAGGGGCGGAGGCGATGGCGGACAGCGGGCTACTAGTAAACGATGAGATGGCCAACAGAGCGGACATTTTGGAGCAGGTCTTAATGTCCACTGCGGTGGATTTCAGTCAGGACTCCAGCGGTAAGCTGCCAGAGTCTGGGTTGGGTGTGTCTGCGCTGTCAGAAGAGGGACAGTTTATTGATGAATCTACTGAACCCCCACCAGTTCTACCAAACACAATTTCCACCACCGTCACCATCTCAAGCACACCTCCGCAGCTGAACTCAGAAGATAAAGGAATCCAGACCGACATAATGCCCATGTCTCCAGACCTGCAGGCTCTGCTCCTCCAGCTGCTGAAGATCCATGGGGCAACAGCAGCGGACACAGTTCTGTCGGCCTCGAGCAGTCTTCTGGGCCTCTCCAACCTGCCCACCTCCACTTCCACCACTCCAAATCTCCACGACTCGACACTCCCCCCACAAAGCATGCCCAGTCCTGCTCCGTCAGAGAGCCCAGACACTTCCACCGATTCCGGCACGTGCTCCTCGGAACGCGCAGAGAGCCGTCGGTTCATGGAGGAGCTGGACTTTGGTGTTGGCGAGGAGGCACCTTGTCTGTCACCGGGACTGGATGTGGTCGGCAAGCGTTACTGGAGCAACAGCTTCCTGGTGGATCTAGTCGCAGTGGCAGCCCCTGTGTTACCCACTGTAGCATGGCTGTACTCGCGACATGGCGTGGACGGAAGCGCTCCAGTGTACAACATTGCTGCTCTTATCAGAGGCTGTTGCATCATGGGATTGCACTCTCTTCGTCACGTCGCCCACAGCCCAGATGCATAAAGGCTTCCACCCCGCATGCACACGCCTAACCTTGAACTAAAAGCACTTAAGCATCTTTTCAAGAGTATTTGTGAGACTTGTTTTTGTTAAACACTTGATATCAATGCAGTTATTTTGGTTCCAACACTGTTACTTCGCACTGTGCAGTTACCATGAGTTGAAGCAAAACGGTGACATGAAAGGGATTATGAAAGGGGTTATTTATATATTTATTTATCATTTACATGTGTAAGCTGATCATCTGGGTAGATGGTTATGTGTTATCATTGTCCGGTGGTGTCCCTAGTTGTCCTTGTGTTTGGAAAAAAAACAGTTCATGTTGGAATGAGACTTTTTTTTTTTTTTTTTAATTTTTTGAGGTGGTGTAAGATTGAATGTTAGTTTCTGTTTGATGGGTTCTGAAATGTTCAACTGTTTGTTTTATTTTGTTATTGTTCAAAAAGAAACCTTAAACCTTCAGCCAAAGCTTTAATGTGAGCTCACTGTTACTGTTTTTTTTGTGAAAAAGTATATATATTTTTTTTGTCCTCTGGGAGTAGAGCTTTATTCGGTACAGCCTGTGTATTGTTCATAGAAATAAGTTGACGCTTCAAAGCAATTGACACTTGTTATGTGCCTGAGCTATGTGCAATACTGGTGGTTTACATCCAATGTCCTTGTATCTTTATTATTAAAGCATGATAAATCCTGGCCATGTGTTGTAATGTTTTTCATAGGACAGGTTTGTTGCGGGGAGGAAATGACTGACCACGGACAACTGTTACCATTTGGTTATGTAAGATTTCTGTTAAATATACTCGCGAAGACTGGGAGAGCCCAGGTTTCTACACTTGCGCAAGATGTTCATATAAATTAATAAAAGGGAAAATATGGAGTCTGAACTCAAGTGCAACCAAGCTGTGTTCTCATGACGGCTCATCTTACGTAAAAGCTTTCCCGGGCTGTATTTTCAGACATCCCTTGGGTTGTGTGTCTGACAATGTGAAGTGCATTAGATCCACTTTACTGGGATCTCTCGCTAGCTGTAAAATGCTGCCTGTGCCCTTATAGCAATAAAAACTGGGTCAGTGCCAGCGCAGATGCAAAAAGTACCAATGCTTTCTCTGCTCATTACGCAACATTTACCCATATTCAATGAAAATGAAAGAAAAGCTGATAAAGTCTGAATGACACATGATTACTCCATTTTCCACACTGCCATATGGTGATGTATCTTAAATTGCATAACCATGACCTCTCAGTTCATAAGGCATCAGACTGAGTCATCAGATGCTATAATCCCCACACTGGTACGTGGATGCTAGATTAAAATGAGTGGGGAGCAATGGTTGTAAGTCGAACCAGCTGAGAACACACCAGTCTTGTAGAAAATCAGTATTTGATTCTTAAGCCTTTCAGGACAATTATTCACCCAAATGGCTTGTTCCCTTTCTGAAGACTGATGACATGCATTTTCCCTTTCTAAAAGTGGGTCAGTCTCTGAGAGGTTTTGGCAGGCAGGCAATGTCCCCAGACAGATGGGAGTGACAGCATTATAATGGGGGTCAGATGAATGATGACAAACATCAGTCAATCAAGGTTAAAGGCCACCTTAGTATCAGACATTATAATGTGATATTAACAAGACTAGTCTATGTTAGCAGCTCTATATTTAGGCACAGCAGTGCTTTGAATTCAATGTTAACATCAGCATGTTAATATGCTCACAGCGACAATGCTAACATGCAGATGTTCACCATAGTTTAGCATGCTAATATTTGCTGGTTAGCACTAAACATTATAGATGAGGCTAATGGGAATGACACTGATAGATACTGGTAGATTGACCAAAATGTCACTAGCATGGCTAACAAAAAGCCCAAACCCATTTGTTGTACCTATAGCAAAGCTCAATAATCACGCAACCGCTCATCCATCTGTAAAGATTCCTCTAGAACAATACTTCAGATAGTGTTTCCCAAATTACATATCAGGCAGCAGACTCATGACCAAAGTTATTCACCTCTAGAGGTATGAATCAAATCATTTTATTAAAAACCTGTGTAGGACTAATACAGCAGGGATACAATCTGCCAAACCCTCTGGATTGGTTGAGCTTGTGGACTCCTTTGTGCTCAACCATGACAATTCTGATAACATGAAATCTTACACATCAATGAGAAAAAGTCGGTGGGTTCTCTGTGATTCTTTTTTTGGAAAACTTAAATGTGCAAAATGACAAAACAGAATCACATGCAGATTTTCTCAATGAAAAAACAATGGGAAAAAGAGCATCTCCATAGAAAACAGAAATCAACACTGATAGTTTGCTGAATTCCCTTAAAATAAACACCTGTTTTCAGTTAAACTCTTAAACCTGATCATGCACTCATTTTATCATTTAAGTTTTTACAGAATCAGCACCTCTGGGTGTGTCAATAAATCATCGCTAGATAACATTAACCCAGTATTTTTTTTAAGAAGCATCAAACAGCTCGCAAAGCTTTTCCCAATTGTAACATTTAATATGAAAATTTGCCTCCCTCGCCTCCACCCAAGTCATTTATCAGACGTCACAGACCAGGAACATATTGTATCATGTCTGCACATTTTAATTTATAAAGGCCTTTCTTCACCTGCCAATGTTTCCATGACAACAGCTTGCCTATTGGCACTGGTACCAATGTTACCAACACTGACTGGTAATTTCATTATAATGATGCACAACAGAATGCTCAGTCAAAACCGACAACTTCAACTGTTAGTCTTACATTTTGATGTAAGGAGAAAAGAAGCAGGAATTTATTTTTCCATCTTCTTATCGGCCAAGGTAACCGGTGATGAGATTACACGGTGATGGTGATCCATGTTTTATAAAGACAGCAGTGAGTGCATCAACTATTTAAGAGCAAAGGAACATTCCCTCCCCTGAAAAAAAAATGAAAAAAATTAAATAAATCAATGCCGTAATCACTGGATATTTTCCTTGGATATGAAACGCTGACAAAGGAGGAGAATGAATGGCAGATCAGTAGCCATGAAGTTACCATAGGAACCCACAGCTAACATTTATAGTTGGGCTAGAGTCTACTCTATGGTCATTTATCTATACTCACATAGCTTTCATTTTAATGCAGATTTCCAGTGTAATAAGGGCTACACAGCACAGGGAGGGAATGTGAAATATCAAGCAACATTCATTCATTCATTCAAAAAAAAAAAATTCAGACAATGAAAGACATAAATATAAAAAAAACAACAATCAAGCAAACCAAGGGATGTCACTGGTATACAGTGATGCTTAAAATTAATTACACTCATTTGTCCTTTGAGGTATTAAATAAGACAAAAAAGGAATTGTACTCCCCATTTGAGTTTCAAAAGGTAGCACAGGTACCTGTTTATTTACAAATGTTTCTGGGAAAAGCAATAAACATTTTTCTACACTACCTGACATATTTAATCAGAATCTAATTTGGAGCCTTCTAATGCTGCATCTAACCTTTAACTTAAGATGAACTGGATCACATTAATACAGTTCTCCCTTGAAGACCAAAATGACTTTGCCACATGAAGAGCAAGTACACCAGGTGCCTTATCTGCCCTCAAGAACGATGCATTTTACACTGCTGCAGCTGGAAAACAGACTAAAATGGCTGCTGGTGGAAACTGGGTGGAGAAGGAGGACAGTTTGTTAACAGATAAGTAGTGCAGGGTGATAATCCTGGTCGATTTGATGACTCTAAAGACAGAGTGACGAATGATTTAGTGTCTTTGCCCCCCCCCCAAACCCCATCCCTCTGGCTCAAAATAGAGCATTTCGAAAATGTTACGAGAGCTTGACGGCAATCTTCTGCTCCTTCTTCATCATCCTCTGAACTTCTTTCTCCATCTTCTTCCTTTGCTGCTCCATGGACCGCTTTTCTCTCTCAACCATCTTCTGTTGCCTGTGAAATAAAGGCAAGACCGACATGCGATTGAATGCAATGTCATACCAGCGCACATCAACGCAAGCTAGGTCAGCTGGGAGTGGAGTAAACAAAATCTTGTTCCTTGCTCTTGTGTTGTAATAACGGCACACACTGCCACCTGCTGGCCGTTGTGTGAATCTACACTCCTCAAATAGAAAGGTGGTCAGAAAGCCTATTTTAAGTGTTCTTTTTATCTTCCTTTCAAACTAAATCTACCTTTCCATGAAGGAGAAGAGCACACCAGAGTTATATTACACTGTTATTATTACTGTATGTCTGCAGACTGATTCAGACTGGTTTCACTTTCCCCTTCATCTTACATAAAACTCCTGCACTTGTTCATGTAGCTGTTTTGTAATTGGTTGGTGCATTGTTAATGTTGGATAATGAGCTGATAAATCTCGACAAACTGGTATTAGTGCACATCTATGTACTGTATATTGGCCCAGATGCATTCTTGAAACATTACCTGAGCACCTCCTCTGCCTCCCAGGCTGCATCAGACTCGTCCTCCCAGGCGTTTGTGTCCCCCTGCCAGTTGTCCATTTCTCCCAGTTCAGCCTGTACAAAAGGAGAAGTTTGAAAACAAGAAGTTCTCTTCACTACAATTGTCCTGCCTAGCTTTACCAGAGATCAACTATATAGCTGATACTGTATAATAAACCTTTTTCAGAGCAGCCAGTTTGACATGAAATAGTTGGGTAAACACCAATGACACTAATTAACCCCCAAACACAGAAACGGCATAAAGAATCTGTTCAAATTTTAAAATGAAATGCCACCAGCACACTCCCGATCGGATTTCATGCTAGATCAATATTTTTAGCACCAGGCCAGATGTAAAGTCAGTCAGATGCAGGTTCAGGCAGGCAACACGCTCTGAACACACTCCGCTTCTGAAACGCTCTCAGTGGGATTTAAAGACGTGCGGATCATGGAGCCAAACTAAGTTGCAAATGTGACGTCACAAAGCCGTGCCCGGTGGAATTTTGGGGAAGGGTCCCTTCCATTTAGTTCTGCAGAACCTTCCAGTTGCATCCCCATTTTCTAATTCAATGTCCTGCAATGGTTGCAATGACTGGACAATTAAATGTGCAAGCATGTCTTAACACTCCGTTAGTGTGTCATGAAAATAAAAATAAAAACGTTCTGATCTCTGGTGCATTAGATGTGAATAAAAGATTTATACAACATGTTTTAAATTTCCTTTTATATCGGAGCCACTTTCCCACTTATTACTATTTTTGACAACAGCGGATAAATCTGCATTTGCAAGTAACATGCAAGTGTATAACCTATATAGTCTACACAGACGGTGGTTCCTACACATTGTCTGTTTCGATCTCTACACATTTTCCTGCCCTTACTTTCTGGGTTTGCATTGAATTGGATGATTTTCAGATACACCTTTATTATGTGCCATTACTGTATACAATGTATGGCCATGTATGTGGACTGAGCTGCATTTCAGTTGATACTACTCTACAGTAGAAAACTCTGCTTAGTCCTAAACTTTTCCAAAACAAAACCTGCCTGACACTTTACATGGTAAAAAGCTGTATCTTACTGAGGGTGGACTGAAGGTCATCATATCCTGAGAGGCTGCGAGTCTGCTGGAGAAACCTGCTGAGCCATCAGGCACCGGGTAGTTCAAAGGCTCTCTTTTCTTCAGCAGTATCTGCAACACAGAAACCAGAGAGACTTGGGCTCAAACTTACGCACTATCTGACACATTACAATCCTATTATAGACAAAGGTTGAGTTGTTTTCATGTTAAAATCAGACAAAATCCAAGCAAATTAAAATTGAATTATATACAGTATGTTAGGAATTATGCAGATGCATCATGTCATGCTCTAATTTGTTTACATCATATTTATACAATGTACATCCATTACAAGCATCTCAAGTAAACTAATACCAGGAAAGACAAGCGGAGGGTGAGGTCAGGAGCATTCCAATCAGTCAGCTGGTATTTCTATTACACTGGAGATTTGTTGACGGACCTTTTATTTATCCCTCTAACCTGAGATTAAAATCAAAGCGTGATGAACAGAAAATGCAAGTTATGTACACCCATATTATTATTGTAGTCTATCATAGCAGGATCATTTTAGTCTACCATTTACTTGCAGGATATACGTTTTTTTGTTTTAAAATGACAGACATTTGAAAGACATTTTGAAATATGTGATATGTGCTGTCTTATCAAGAGGTACATGATTGGATGGAAATCATTTGTGTGTGTACAGTGACAGATCTGAGGCGTGCTCTGTCTAATCTCGCTCCCTCTAGCTTTGCTCATGTTCTATCAGATACCTTCCAACAACACAAACTCTTATTTACACAACGTTGTACTGTATCTGTGTATTTACTGTTAACATGTCTAAAAGAAATAACAGAAAACACAACTCTGCAGTTCAACAAGCTGTTAGCTTATTGCAGCTTCTCTGGGAGGCTTACCACCATGGCCTAAGACTTTCCTGGGAGAAACCCTGGGAGAACACTTACCCCTAACTTCCAGTCTTTGCAATAAACTACGGCAAACACATCAAAGACTAGTGTCTGCACTGAATGTGTACAGATTAAATTATTATTTTATAAAAAGAGAGAAAACAAACACATTTCCCATAATGTCTGTTTACCTATAAATAGAATATTTTCTCTCTTTCAGGATGCTATATAACGCCAGACACATACAACCCACTTGGAAAAGATTTATTCAGGATATTTGGTACATCATTCATTTTGCATCTGCTTGGTAACGCTGGATCATCTGAACTGTCTGTGGACATACCTTCTGTGTTTTCCTGATGGTGGGAGCCATGTCTTTGAAGTAGTCGGGCTCTTCATCCACCTCGTTGGGTGAAGGGGAAACGTTTCCATTGCCACCTTCAATCTTGATACTAGTAGGAGCCTCTTCATCCCAAGAGCTCCATTCTTCAATCTCTGGCTGTTCAGACAAGACAATAAAATACTGTTTTAAGTAAAATTTGAATGTACAATATGTAACTTTTGCCACCAGGCGTCATTGCCGTCAGCTTCTCCAGTTTAGGATTCCTTCAACGTTCATTGTTGAGGAAGTTTTTACTGGAAGCAGAATTATCCACAGATGTCTCAGTCTCCCAGTGATTAAAACCGGTAAAAACATTGAACAAAGCAGTTTCACCTTAAAAATCAAGTGTTTCTGCCAGTCAAACTGCCTCTAACATTAGCTCAGCTTGTTTCTCTGACGCTTCCAGATGTCCAACGACTAAAATCCTTCATCCAGTTAAAATATAGTTAAAGATCTCTAAGTGTATTGCAAAAATGTGGCCTAAAACTAGATTAAAAGATCTCTGTTTATGATGACTTCTGGAGACAACGACCACACTGATACATGCGCATACGGCATTGACAGCTTAACTGAATAAAATTACAGATTTCTCTGGGTTTGAACATGGTTGGAAAGATTGGGGATAATGTAACTACAGAACGCAATAAAATATCTTCCACAGGTCTAGTATTTATAAACATTTCAATGTGGCAATGTTACACATTATTGCTTTAAACATGAAGGATTCAAGAGCAGGAGACTGTGTAGTTATTCTGCATAAGCAAATATATGCAATGATTGTATCTGTAGTTTGCCTTTCCAAACATTGAACACTAGAATCCAACCTTCTCAGGCTGTGTGTAGATGATTGACTGACCTGTTTTGGTACTGATGATGAAAAATCCACTGTTGTTGGGAGAGTTATTTGATCACCGCTGAGCTTGCGGCCCCTTCCACTCCTGTAGACAAATACAATAAAATAAAACAACAAGTAAAAGAAACTAATTTAATGTTGCAAACAGCAGCAACTGATAAAACATTTTTTATGAAACACAAAAGGTCAGACCCAATTTAGTCTTCGTCCACCATTACAGAAGCACACAGCTTAAAACATAAATCGAGATCCTCAATCGTTAGATTCCAGCGGTAAATCAGCATGAATGTGATCCCCCACGCCATGATCTGGTTGGTTTTCTACCAAAATATACCATGGTGGGTGGTAGTGAGTATGAAATTCATTTAAATAAACTGCTCTTTAGCTGTGGATCAGACGAATAGAAACGTTACCAGTTTATCTTGTTGAGTGTTTTCAGTGTGTTTATGTTTGTCAATAAGCAAAGTAGTGCTACACTGTCTGTGAATCAGGGGTCAGGGGTCATTGCTTTTTCATGTTTAGTTGCACTCACCTGCATATCAACCTTTTAAAGAAAGAAAGTAAGCTGGCTAGACATGTGCAGATCTTGAAAAGACGGAACTGAGTGATGGCCATGTTGAAACTGATCTGGTGGGAAAGAAAAAAGAAAATATTAGCATTTGGCTTTCCAGTGATTGACATGTGTGTTTTGTTTTGCTTCAGAGCAACAGGATGTGAAGTAAAGCAGCTCTCCAGTGGACCAATATTATTGCAGGGTAGCATGGAACTGAGAATAGTTGGCCAGGATTCAGTCTTTAAAAGTAAATATGTTAGCGTGTGTTATATAAGTATTCCTCACCAACATCCATAATATTAATAACCCGAGCCGTGACACTGTTCAAAAGCTTCCCTGCCAGTAAGTAAACGGATTGGCTAGTAGATTTTAACATGTAACAAATGGATGCATTTGTTAAACACCAACAAATGCAACCATACAGTCAGATTCAAACCTTTGTTTAATACGCAACTTTCAACACAGAACAAAAACACCGAGCTACGGTTAACGTCATACATCATCATACGAGCTGAACCAGTATTTACGCTAAATGAAAGCAAATAAATGAGCTCTTCACAATACATTGTTGCACCTCTTAGCTACTACACAAATAGACACTCACCGTGCAAAGATGTCAGTACACCGTATGCCGAGCAGCTGCTTTCTTCTTGTATGGCAGAAGAGACAAGTTCATTTATTTGCTAACCGCTGCTTGCTAGCTTAGCCCACAGGAAAACATGATATTTCTGAACCTTTTAATTGTCTTCGTAAGGCGGCACATTGGCAGTGGCAAATTATATCGTTGTCATGTTAAAACCATGCACGTAACAGCTGCACACCCCAATGCGGTTTCATGACAAAACTCCTAAATTTGGTGTCGTCTCTCATCTCTGCCCCATGGCTGCCATCTTTGAGCTGGGAGGAGCAGGAACAGGGAAGTACAGCGTGGTCCTGCTGCATTCAAGTACTGTCGGACATTTTAGTACTTGTAATCCCCATAGACGTAAACCCATATTTATATGTATTTATGTACAGTTTATGGTCTGAAAAAACAGGGGGAAAACGATAAAAAAGACTGAGAACTGGACATAGCAACCTTAACAGTACTCTTTTCATAATGGGAAAGCATTCAACAGGTCATTAGCATATTCTAATTGCATGCAGAACAAAAAGCATTATGGTGAATTCACTGTAAGCTTCTGTATTATTCACATATTTGTAAGTTGTCCTGTAAACCAAACCCTGTCGACACAACAAACAGCTCTACCCTCCAGGCCAGTAGGTGGCGGTAATGCGTATATAAGCTGGTTTGCTAGCCGCCATTAAAACACGAAGAAGAAGAAGCTTCCGCGTTGACAGTCACCACAAACTATCCAATCAGCACACGACCTGGACGGAAGTGGCACATTTGAAAACTGCCAGTTGAAGTCGAGTCTTTTTCCTGTCCCATAAGTAGAAAAGGAACTAATAACAGCTTGAATAAGGTAAGATATTCTTAACAGCAACATTGTATTTTAATCGTATTGTAGATGCCTTTATACGCGTTTAACTTCGTCTGAGTTATGGTGTCCACAGTGGAACCAGTTCACTGACCTGGTAATCGTTAACAACACCGTTAACAACATGTCAGCTAACAACGCTAGCTAACTGAGCTAACGCGATTGTAAACACGAAAGGGTCAATTATTTTACAAAGGAAAAACGACTGAAACTCTGTCTTGCTTCGCAGCAATTATACACACAGGTATCGTCAAGGAAGTTGACGCTGGGTTATTAACGTTAACGTACTTTGCAGTCGATCGGTGAACAAAAGATCCACAAAGCAGCACATAACGTTAACTGTGGTCATTTTCTAACTGTCTGAACATTACTCTGTACACCACATCCCTCCTGGTAACAGTTAAATGTCACTTATAACGACATCGGAGTGGGATTCTTCAACGGTCTGTAACGCTAACGCATTTATCTTCATTCAAGAAAACACGCCTAACCTCATAAGGGCTAATGTCATCCATCGACCTCTCAATTTCAGATGGAGGAAGAGGAGCATACAGACAGAAAGCAGCAGCTTGCCATGCTTTATCAAAAGCTCAACAAAATTAAAAAGTATCTCAATGAAGGTAATGGTATGCTCTGTAGTCCTGTCACTACAAGAGTTAAATACATCACTATCCATATACATCAGTATCCATATACATCAGTATCCATATGTCCACACTTCATACAGTCATCATGACACCTTCCTCTTGTTACAGATGACACGGACAATATTAACCAGGTTATCGGCTCAAACTCACCTGAATCATGCCTCTCATATTTGACGGACCTGGAAAAGAAAGGGGACCCTCACCTGGATCGTAACCACCTCACCAGACTTGTTGACTTTTATACCAGAGTCTTCTCCAATATGCCCCTGGGCAAACACTGTGAGAATGAGAGCTATGCCAGGATGTTGGTCAGATTTGCGGAGCTAAAAGCGTGAGTGACCATAGTTATTCACTCGTATATCAAAGATTTTTGTATTTCTAGTTTTAGTTTGATGATATCCTTTTTTTAAAAAATGGTGGGCATTTAGTCTGGTTATCCTCTTCTTTCTTTTCCTCTATTAGAATTCAAGATGTCCATGAGGCAGAAGCCAACTTCAACGTGGCAAGATCTCACAGCCAGAACTTTGCATTTGTTCACATTGCTCATGCACAGTTTGAACACTCCCAAGGTAGAAATAAGCTTTTTGTTTTTTTCAGTGTATATAAACATATTGTGACATTTTGTCTGCGGTATTTCAGTGTCTGCTATATCATCTTACCAGGCAACACAAAGCGAGGCATTTACATATTGCAAAATGCTATTGAACTGGGTGCAAAACCCAAGGAACTGCTGGAGGCAGCCTTGCAAGGCATGCAAACGGGGAAAACACAGCTCATCTTTTCAGAGGATAAGGAAAATGTGCCATGTGAGTGTTTATTCATGTTTTTTTCCATGGCATCACATGGTTAGATTAATTGACTGGTGTACAGCCCTTCAAAAAAATATTCTTACAATGCAATTTTATCATATGATTTATTAACTTTTTATTGTCTAATTTTGTCTTCTTTCTGCCAGTATCGTTAAACACCAATGTGCATGATTCTGTCAAAAAAGGCTCCGCATTCCAAAAAGTAAACAGAATATCAGATGGGACAGGCGATTTGCAGCTTTCCAGTATTTTTGCTTCAGGGTAAGAATGTAGGAGAATGACTGCCTTCAGTGTTTAATACAGCATCTGTCTGGTTTAGGGAATGTGACATCTTGTGGTGTTCTCTGGCCCGCAGGACAGAGCCCCTTGGTGGATCATCCGATGATCAGCTACCAGGCTGGAGATCTGCATCTCAACGCAAGAGAGCAGTTGGCATAGTGAGACTTACATTTCATCATCTTTGACGTTTTCAAATCAATTTACCATTAACACACACGCAACATACACTTTAAGTTTTGAAATTGTGTGGTTTTGGTTTTTTTTTGTATTCCAGCCAGGAAGAGTTCCCGTAGTACCTTTCTCTATCCCAGAAAAGGATGATGATGACTACATTAATGGGAAGCCCTCAAAGAGAAGCGATGCTTCAGTCCACACCAGTTTGTCAAGGTAGTTTTTATACCAACATTTATTTCCAAATATGTTCAATTTGACTGTGTCTTAAGGAATGCTGTGAAACAGTCATCCTGCTTGGAACACCCAAGGTCCCTTACAAGGACATCATTTTCTATAGTGGCATTTGAGGAACTAATGCTAAGTTGTTTGATTTTTAGTTAGAGCAAATTCTTGAATATTTCAGTAAAATGTGTAATAATTAATTTTAGTTACTTGCTAGTTTACTACTACAAGAGGTTTTTGTAACTGTTAATGAGACTGATTCTTCAATTTGTTTCATTTAATCTTAGGCAAACATCTGGTTCAAGTGTGAACTCAGTATTTGGGCTGTCATCCTCAAAGAAAAATACAGTGGATGGGGATTTTCAAGTGAGTATAAAGCAGCTACAGCAGTTTTGGTCTTGCAATGTCAGAATAAACAGTTTTTTATATTCAGTGCTCAGCGAAGCAAAGGTGTTGAGCTTGTCGCTGTGTTCTCAGCCACCAGCTGTCAGCCCAGAGCATTACCCTTGGGAGGACCAGGCAGCTGTGGACGCCACCACCACACTGCTTCACACACGGGACACGTCGAGAATGGAAGGTACGTATATGGAAGGTACAGTATGCTCCACTGAGTGCCCTGCTGCAGTTTGTTGCACTCAGTAAAACTTTAAAGAGCTCTGTCAACAATTTGCCTTTTTTGTTGGGCTATTGTTTTTGTGACATTTTGTTTCTCGCTGGCAGATGTAACCTACAACTTCGACCAGGTCCTCCATAAAAATTCGCCCGAGTCGTGTTGGGCGTACCTGATGAACTTGGAGAAAAGAGGAAACCCTCACACAGACATCAACCTCCTCAATAAGCTCAAGGACTGTTACGCTAAAATCTTCTCCAGGCTGCCAATAAGACAGTTCAGCAAAAACACCAGCTATGCCAGAATACTGGTCAGATATGCCGAACTCAAGGGGTGAGTGTGGATGACAATACTGAAGTTATTACAGTACTGGGGCTTTGTGGTGTGTATTCTGGGGTATTTAACTGCAGGTGTGGTCAAACTTAAGATTTTCACAGCATTCCCTTTATCAATGTGCAATCATATTGACTGATTTTTGTTGATGTTTCATGGAAGTGGATCAGTCCTTTTATATATTTAGATATATAAGATGTCACACTGTTATGTAATGTGGAAAACCTTTTTTAGACATGAACCCTTTGAACCCTTATATGTTAATGGGAAGCTTATCACACCATAGTTACATGGAGAGAAGCCAAACAATATTATTGAATTATTGCCCAGCCCCAGGTGTGGTATTGGTGATCTGACATCTGAACTAGATCCTCTGTATGACATTTATTACATTTTAACATTGTCATATTTCAGTTAATGTATAAAGACCTGTGTGGATGTAATGGCTGGCTATTCCTAAAATCAGTGCACACATCCCTTTCACTATTGTTGCCAAAATGTTCAATTTAAATCTTTGAATCTAACATCAATGCATTATCATATGCTTTATAAGTGTAACCTCATTTCTGTTTTTTATTTCTTTTTAAGGATTGAAGACCAAGATGAGGCCCAAGACCACTTTATAGTTGCAAGATCCAACTGTAAAGGCTTTGCTTTTGTCCACATAGCACATGCCCAGTTTGAGGTTTCTCAAGGTAGAACGGCTTTGTATTTATTTCACTTTCCAGAAGTCTCATATATGGAATAGACCAACACAGACCAAATGCACATATAAATACATTTTTCATGGAGCACATGTAGATTTTATTTCGCAACATTCATATTAAGAACAATAAAATTATAAGCAAGTTGATGTTGTAGATGTGTCAGTGTCCTAATTATAGTTTTTCTTCCTCCTTTCCTTTAAGGTAATGTGATCAAAGCAACTTCAATTCTGCACAAAGCCCAGGCTTTAAATGCCAGGCCAGCAGAGCTCCTGGAGATGGCCATACGCAACCTGAAGGCTGGGGAAAAACAGCTTGTACCCACCAGGGAGGAGGAACCACCCACAGGTAGAGCTACTGAAGAGTCTTTCACTCAGTTCATTTACATGCGCACTAGTATCCTGGTTGTATTATCAGGTTTTTGGAGTATCTTAGCTTATGTTTTGGGCTTGTCCACAGCTTATCCTGGTTCTGAACATTCTCTGTTGGTGCACAACACAGTGGCTGAGATGGAGAGAAAAAGACAACTGCAGCCAGACAATTAGATCAGAAACCTGGATACTGTTGTGATCATGCATACAGGACTATAAATAACCAGGTTTCTCATGCGCCACATAAACTCCTTATTCCGAATATGATCAAAAACAGGATAAAGCTAAAAA